ACTTAAAAATTCAGTGACTGAAATAAATATCAACAACTAAACATCAAGCGTTCATCCCCCCGAGTGCTACGTATCAGAGCGACGACACCGACTCGAACTAACGAGGTAACAACTATCCTTCTTGATTACCTGCACGTTACCAACAGAGGGCAACATTCAAAAAGAAGGGGTGAGATATCGAAGTATATAATTGAATATATGATAATTAAAATATCATAATCAGTTCATATAAAATCACCACTTCACAACTTATACATAACAACTATTACAATAAAGCATCAACACGACGTAACGACTAAATTCACAGCTTTTAAATAATACTTATCACAACAAGTCAACAACATAAAGCAACAACGAATCTATATTCACCATAACTCAAGATGAAACATCAAATGCGACTCAATTACAATGCATATGCATGTGGTACCAACAGGGCTTCAGCCCCCATCACCGATTGCCAATTATTAGAGGCATTCAAACAAGGCATCAACCTTCATCGCTATTTTGCCAATCCAGCCCATCACAGAGTATACAAATGTATGTGACTCAATGAATGCATCATCATATACTCACAACAATTATCGTTCATCACAAGGCATAAGCCCACATCACCATTATTAGCCAGTAAATAGAGGTAATTCATCATCATCTAAAATTCTCTGCAACTTTGCATTATCAACAAGAATTCACAGAGACAATCACAACAATACAACAACTAAAAATAAATCAACATTGGCTATAAGCCCACCACATCAACCAACGATTCAACATCAACTCATCATAATTCAACTTTGGCCATAGGCCTATAACTTGATATTTCAACAACAATAATTAACACAACATTGGCACAAGCCTACAACTTAGTACGTCACAATAACACTATCATATCAACAATAGTAATTTAACATCAACATCAACAAGAAAACAACATTGGCCATAAGCCTAAAAATTCAATACCATCTCCAATTCATACTTTTCAGCCAAGTATTCAACACACTGTATCGACTAAAATACACAACAAATATTCAGTATAATTATTCGGGAAAATCGACTAAATCCTGCTAATTAATTAATTCTCCACTGTTATTTTATTACTAATAACCTTCTGTTACTAATTCACATCTTAGTCTCTACCTTACAACAGCTTATACAATTCACCGTCTCAACCGTAATGTTTTACACACATTCCACGTAATTATTCAGACAATTCAACTATATCCGACTAAATAATCTTTTGCTAAAATTGCTAGTATTTCCTGCTCTGTGCCGTTACTAAATTTTTATACTATTAACACTATTATCCTGCCAAATAATACTAGTCTGCTATTGATATATTACTTCTACTAAATATTCTTCTGTTACTACCAAATAGCACTAACTCTGCATTTTTAATAAATTCGGCTACTGTCTCATATATATATATATATATATATATATATATATATATATATATATATATATATATATATATATATATATATATATATATATATATATATATATATATATATATATATATATATATATATATATATATATATATATATATATATATATATATATATATATATATATATATATATATATATATATATATATATATATATATATACCTTCATTTTCTTTTGCTTGATGATAGGCATAGTTTGGTGATGATAGTCATGAGAGACGTGACGATACGCACATGGTGTTTCTCTAAGAATTTAGTGCTTCAGGCTCAGGTTTCTAAATTAAGGCTTAACATAAGTATGAATTTTGTTTAGTTTAGATAAGAGTATATATATATATATATATATATATATATATATATATATATATATATATATATATATATATATATATATATATATATATATATATATATATATATATATATATATATATATATATATATATATATATATATATATATATATATATATATATATATATATATATATATATCATGATGCCGATCAGCACCCTCCTTACCACTATTCCTGCCGATCGGCAGGGCCCCTTCCTCTAATGCCTCTGCCGGTCGTCACTCTCCTTCCGGCACCAGCACCTGCCCTTGCCTCATACGCAGATTTTTCAATGCAAATTGTCCCAGTCTCTTGCAGACACCAATACAGTATCCAAAACACAACAACACACCAACAATATTTGTCATGAATAATTTCTATAACCAACAATTCTCAGTATTGTAACAATCAGGTATGCAAACCAACAAAGATTTCATATTTTCACAACACAAAATCACAGACAGTGGCAATTTCATACAACCCAATTCCATATACAATTTATCATATACCCTATTATAGAGTCAGAACCCCACCTTTACCTTGGATTGGAGATCGCTCTATAATTTCGATTGCAACCCACTGCTGCCATAGCTCCAAACCTTTATTCTTCTTCTTTTCTCCATATTTTTCATATAATGCATCCTTTTCTTTCCTCTTTCTCTAAAATCCTTATTCTTCATTTTCTCATAAATACCTAATTTTCTTTTATTCATCTAAACATATAAATTCTATTATTAATTCTATTGGGCCTAATATTCACACCACACATTTTATTACCAGCAACACTTTAAATCAAACCCATAAGAAATAATAATAGTATTATTATAATATTATTTTCCACCACTTAATCAACTCAATAATTTAACTAACCACGCGATAACTTAAATCGATATTTCAACAATAATTCACAACTTCGACAATTAATTCGAAAGTATTTAATTAAATAATTAATTAAATACTGGGTGTTACACTCAACGTATACAATAATGGCTTTTCAATGGTAGCAAAACCGGATTATTGGCCTACCTACGAAGGGGAAATAGTTTGGCACAACGATCAAATGTGAATGAATAAAAATGATTGTTCCAATAGCAAAGCGTATCAGAACTGAAATGCACTCGCTTGACAAGCTAGCAAGAAAGTGTGTTTTATGCCGTCAGGTCGGACACAATCGAAAAAATTGTCCCACTCGTGCTACTAGCTCGACAACATAAAATTTGTATTCATAATATCTGTATTTTTTTATATCTCAACGAAATGATTTTCATTACGAACATTTGTTACAACATAACAAACACAAACAAGACATAAAATGACATCACGACTAAAACAACAACACAAACACCAGATAAATCAACAACACATACGCCACATAAAAATAACATCAATAACACAACAACATATCTAAGAAATTACAATAGTCAAAACAATTTCATCGGATCCGTGCATCATCACCATTACGTCTCTATTTGTTTTGACTTCCTCCAACCAACAATGAGTTCTTCCAGTTGCAAGTAAGGTGGTTGTTCTTCTTCTCTGGATCCTTTTAATTTGTTCGTCATCTTTGATGTCTCCGTCTAACCATCACATCAACTCTCTTCAAACGCTCTACGGAATAAATGTGCCAAAATTTCATTTTCATCAGAGGTTTGATGGCCGAGAAAATAATGTACCCATCTCTCATAAAAATCATGAGAGATGTCATGACGTAAAAAACAGAGAGAAAATGATAAGAGAATGTGAGAAAGTGTGAAGAATGTTGGAGAAATAGATGTTTTATTTATAAAAAATACAATTGCATGTAGGAGCCATCTCCTCCCACAAATATAGAGCATGCGCCATCTCACATGGCTTGAGGGCAGTGTATACGCCATGTGGGATGGCGCCTAAGGTCAAACTTCAAGTGGATGTGTCATCTTACTTGGCTCCTGCATGTTAACGTTTTCTGAAATATAATTATTTGCGTAATTTTCTCTGAAACGTGGTTATTTATGGATTTTCAATACCTAATTATTGCAAAAAAAAATCGACAAGATAACACTCTCTCTCTAACGATTTTAAATTAAAAAAAATCACACTTATTAAGAAAATTAAAATTATATATACTTTTGAAATATATTTAATAAAAAGATATAAAAGCAACTTTAATTAATTATTGTTTATTGAAAAAATAAGAAAAAAACCAAATTAAATATAATTTATATTTAATTTTATTTTTAAAAAACAATTTTTTTTAGAATAAAATATTTAAAATAAAAACAAAATTGACTTATAATTTAAAATAAATTTATTTATAAATCATTATGAAAGGAGTATATGAGAGTTGGATTTTATTTAAATAAATTAGATTTATTTAAATATCGTTAAATTAATTTAGTTGATAGTTATGCATGAATATTAAGTGTAAAGTTGTGATTTCAAACCTTTATTTTTAAAGGTTTAACTCTATAAAAAAAGAAGATTTATTTATATTTAAAAATATATTATTTGAGTTTGACTCACCAGTTAATCTGAATTATCAATATCTTTTAAATTTTATTTATATTAAAACTCTTAAAAATAAATTCAACTTATTTTTTAAAGTTAATAATCCAATAAATACTACTCTATCTTCAATTTCTTTAAAAAAGATAATCTATTTTTTAAAATTTATTAAATAACTCATGTATATAACCTATATACAATTCAAATACATTTGTTATTAATATCATTTTGTCAATGTTAATAAAATATAACTATTTTAGTTTTATTCTCTAACTACAATTAATTTTTCCTTTAGTTTTTCTTATTAATATGAATAAAGTAAAAAAAAAAGTCAATTTAAAAAATAATAAATTTCTTACAATCATAAATTCTCTACCTATTTTTAGAAAACAAAAAACTTTTATACTAATTAAATATTTTTTGTTTATAAAAATTCTCGAACAATGTTGACTAATACTGTAACTGAGTTTTCAGAAGAAAAAAAAAAAAGACTGTAACTTTTAGAAGTAGAAAAATAAAAAATAAAAACTCTGTAATATATTTTTCGTCAAAGGAGCAATCTTTTCTGTTTCTCAGTTTCTGTAATCATTCTTCACAAGAAACATTTCATAAGTCGAAATAGATCTCTTTTTCTTTCATTCTAAATTCTCTTTCAAATCCAATCCCTATTTTCTAGGGTTTCGATCTTTCACTCTTCTTCTTCTTCTTCATGTTTTTCTCTGACCTAAATTAATGGCGTCGATTCGACGGACGCTATCTCCGGCGTATCACGACCGTCACCACTATATCAACACCGTCTTTTCGTCTTCCTCTCCGTCGCACAAACTTCCTTCTTCAAACGCTAACTACTCTGTACTAGCTTCGTCGTTTCAGAAATTAATCGGTAGCGTTTTCATGCGACGCTACAATCGGAAGGGACAATGGCGACGGATTGCTTACAGGTGCGTGATTTTCTTCTTCGCTGGGATTTTGTTAGGAATGTTTCCGTTTGGTAATCTTGTTCATGATATTCCTCATCAACGTAACGAGAAAATCAATTTCGATGTCAAAACTCCTCTCGCCGACGACGACGCTCAGTTAGTTCTCGATGATCGTGTTCCGGTAAAGCGCGCCGGTGCTGGAGGCGCCGGCGCCGGCGCCGATATCGGTTTTGTGATTGATCCTGTGAGTTTGAGCTTGAGGATGAAAGATGAGAAGGTGAAAGTGAAAGCGAGGGATTTGGTTGAATCTGAGGGGATTGATTTTGTGACTAGGAAGCAATTGATTGTGGTGACACCGACTTATAACCGTGCTTTTCAGGCCTATTTTTTGAATAGGTTAGGGCAGGTTTTGAGATTGGTGCCGTCGCCGGTTTTATGGGTGGTGGTGGAGATGAATTCTGCTTCTATGGAGACTGCTGAGTTGTTGAGGAAAACGGGTGTGATGTATAGGCATTTGGTGTGTGGTAAGAATTCGACTGATTTGAAGGATAGAGGGGTTCATCAGAGGAATACGGCGTTGGAGCATATTGAACATCATAAGCTTGATGGGATTGTTTACTTTGCGGATGATGATAATGTGTATTCTCTTGAGTTGTTTGAGACTATTAGAGATATCAGGTACTAATTATTCTGTTGTTAGTTGGGTTTTGGTTTGGATCTATGCTTAAATCTAGTTTTCTTATTGATGGGTTTGGTTTGCATATGATTTATTGAGTTAGGTTGCTTGTTTTGGAGATGTGGTTGTTGCAATTGTTGACAAAACTGGTTACCTTTTGTTTGTTGGATATTGTTGGTACCACTGGCTTTTTGGGGTTTACTTGGTGTGTGCTTGTATTTGGAATTTGTGAGATTGTGTTTGTTGTCATTTGTTTGTATTTGGAATGTGTGCCAAAGTGTCAACTTCATAATTTACTACCGAGAATTTGTTGTTCTTGAGAGGAATCAATGTGGCAGAAATTTTTTGTTCTTTAGGGATCGGTTTGGGGTTTACAATCTCAACTACTAGTGGGTTTGCTGTTAAAACCTCCGAATTTGTAATGTTTTGATTTAAATGATTACATATACATGATTAAAATTGCCCCTTGTTTTTTGGTATAAATTTGCACCTTATTTTTGGGTATTCACAACCTTGTCTTGGTAATGAAGTAGTTTCATCTGTCCTTTGTTACATTAGCATGTTTGAATGCTACTTCTTTTTTCCTTTAGAAATCCTGTTTTCACCTTTTCCTTCTTGAAAACATGATATCAGGTGAAAATAAGGGAGCATGATAATGTTTATAACTGCTAGTAATTAGTAATAACATACCGACCAAAAATGACAAAAAAATTACACATCCTTATGTTTTCCCCTTGTTAATTTCATGTTTAGGAGGAAGGTAGGTTGATCCATTCCCATGGTTAGGGCAGGCCACATGCTTCAATGGAGGTTCATAGTGGTACTAAGAACAGGCCACTGTTTAATTTTACCTACTGAGCCAACCATTTTCCTTTGATTATGAAATTGAATTAAAATTGCAAATACCTCTTTCATGATTAAATAAATTCAAGTGTTTGGAGCTGTAAATGTTTTGGGAGTTTTATCTATTGGTTTTTTTACATGTGAAACATTAATATGATGTTTTCATGTCGACAACACTGTTTTTTCCAGCCAATCTATACATCATTCAACATTTACATGCTCAATTGCGCCTTTATGAATTTTTTCCTCCAACTTGTTCATTCAATTCCTAATCCTATGTTCTCTAATGTTGACCTTGTTTTATAGTCGTTTTGGTACTTGGCCTCTCGCCATGCTTGCACCAAGCAAAAACAAGGCTATTTTGGAGGGTCCGGTATGCAATGGAAGCCAAGTGGTTGGGTGGCATACAAATGAGAAAAGTAAAAGACTTCGAAGATTTCATGTTGATATGTCTGGATTTGCATTCAACAGCACAATCCTGTGGGATCCCAAGCGGTGGCGACGCCCTACTTCAAAGCCTATACGGCAATTAGACTCAGTGAAGGAGGGTTTTCAGGTATGCCTCCTATCGTTACTTATTTGCTCTATCCCCATATCATCTGCAATTCTTTTTATCATTAAACTGATAATACCTTTAACTTTTACAGGAGACTACCTTCATAGAACAATTGGTAGAAGATGAGAGGCAAATGGAAGGTTCGCCTACTGGTTGTAAGAAAATAATGAATTGGCATCTCCATTTGGATGTTCATAATGTAGTTTATCCAAAGGGTTGGATGCTTGAGAAAAACCTAGATGCTGTCATTCCCATCAAGTAATCCTCCATCGATTCTAGAGTGTGTGATAGGTATGGTCAGATTTGTAATGTGGCATCAAGAATGTTATTTGTAATTCTTAAGCAAATGCAAAAGCTGCTAACTCTTCTCAGTTTTGTTAAGTGGTGCTATAGAAATATAATGTCGATAATGGAAAGTTTTCTCATTATAGGCTGTTGTAATTGTAAGATATCCCGTCATCCTTAGCCCCCGTCCCTAAAAGAAAGAGAGAGAAAAGTTTCCCCGTTGTTTGGGGCCCTGCAAGAACCTGAAATTTATGTAGTTTAAGAAATTCTTATGGATTTTAATGGGAGACCAAATTAACTTACCTTTTGTTCATGACAGTTTGCCTATATTTGGTACTGGTCCAGCACTGAATAGATGGGTGCACAGTTAGCCACCATTGGCACTAATGCTATGTTGCCCAACAAGACCGAAACAGGTTATTGAATTTGTTTCCCAAATTTTCTTGCACATAATTGTTTGCTGGGGAAATTTTTTGTTGTTGTAAAGTATGCTTTGCTACCTTTTGTTCTTTTAGAAAGAGATCCTCTCCAAAGGAGAAAAAGAATTGTTTAAATCAACTTGTTTGATTATCAGTGTTGTACACACAGTTATGTAGTTGGTGGACAATTCATTCGAAGGGCTGATATTGATGTCTCGACCACCAAAATATGCAGAGGGCATTTTCTAAAATGTACTTCACTTGCCCTATAATGTCGTTTTTCATTCTTTCAATATATGGCATTCTTCCAATACTTGCTTAATTTGATAAACATATATCTACATTGCCGTGTAGTATTGTGTACCATAATACATGCTACACATATTGTTTTGGACTAAAATTCAGTTTTTAGGCATGAAAATTAGTAGTAAAATTGAATATGTGTTGGGGGAAAATATGGCAAGCTGCTTGCCTACTTTGGAATATACGATACTGTCATTGCTAATTATCTTCCTTGCTGTCAAGCTTGGTGCAAATTCAGACCTGATTCAGTTAGTTAGAGTGTGTTTATATTTGCACAAGTGCTAAATAGGCCATTGTAGTGCCAGCAAAGATGACTCAAAGGTCATTATTAGTGGTGAGGATTAGCCTCAGTAAGGCTGTGCTTGTTTCCTCTCATTCACCCTCACAGTCGTCTAATGGGTGTTTGTTCCTAAGTTACTATACTCCTCACAAAAGATATATAGAGTAAGTTTTATCTCCCACCCTTTGACTATTAAATGAGGCAAAGTTTTATCTCCCACCCTTTGACTATTAAATGAGGCAAAGTTTTATCTCCCACCCTTTGACTATTAAATGAGGCAAAGTTTTCCTTATCGTGATCTTTTGTCTTTCAAGTCTCCCAACCAATACTTTGTTACCCTCTAGTTCTTTCCCCTCAATCCCTATAATCTCCATCATTTTTACTCCTTATAAACCCCATTCAGCTAAACCAATTCAACCTCTCTTTCCACAACTAAAACATAACTTGTTCTTGTTGCTTCTGACTCTGTTTCCATCAGTCCTCAACTCATGTATCCACCTCCTATTCATCAAGTTCCTCTATTCATACAGCACATCCTCACAACACACATCTTATCAAATTATAATTAACACCAGTATTGTCATCATCACCAGTATTACCTTTCCCGTCATCATCTGTTTGTTTTTCTTGTCCACTCTGTGCTAGAGAGTGTTAAGCAAGCTCTAAAGGGTCATAAATGGCTAGCTGTTATGCTGGAAGAGTTTACTACATCACAAAAAGAACCAAACCTAATGGGTCATTTGCATCAAGGAAAACGCTGAAGGCAATATTAACAAGTATAAAAGCTTGTTTAGTAACTAAGTTCCCATCAAATCCATGGTTTTGATTTTAATGAAATTTTCTCAACTTATCACTATTCATATCATCGTGACACTAGCATTCACTATCAATTGGACATCACAATGACAACGATTAGCTGCAAACAATGTTGGACATTACAATAAGTAACATGGCGAAGAAAGGGTTGCTAGCATTCCTCCCTACTATTCAAATTACTTGTGGTTGGTTGTTGTTCTTGAGTTTTATAGTTATTCTGTTTTTCACATATAAATGATTGAAACAAACCGTGACAATGTTTTATTTAGCTTAGGGTTATGTTATGCACTGACATATCATATGTACCCATCAATACAAGTCTCGCCATAAGCAAATACACATCGATAAATAAATGATAAAAATAATAACCAAATAAATTAATTTAGAGAATGTTCATATGAACAAAATCAATTGGAGAATAACAGATGGTTAAATACCTTAGTGTAAGGAAAAAGATAACTGAATATCTTACCTTTCTTCATTTATGATCAGTGTTTTTCCCTTGGTGTCTCTAATGGTTGTGAGAGCGATCACACTTGACACAAATCGCAAAATTATAAGTTGTAAAACACAAATCGCAGAGCCCTGAATGATCAATAATCTGCAAAATTATAAACTGTAAATAATATCTGAGGCGTCTGCAAATTAATAAACTGTAAATAACATCTGAGGCGTCGTGGAGAGATTAAAAGTATAATCCTTTTTGTTTTATCAGGTGGTAACATTGTTTTATGTTGTCACCGTTGAAATAAAGTAGCCATAAAAATAGGGAGGTTTGACCTGATTTAGTTATAATACTTGATCAAAGTAGCAATCGTGAAAAAAATGCACTCAACATAACTTTTAAATTTAATCTTTTACATAAGTAATTAAAGAATGAATTTAATTGGTATACCGACGGTGTAAAAAATTTATACATGTCAATTAATCTTGACCGATTGATTTTAATTGAAGTTTGAATTTTATTTTTATTATTTATAAAATAACATTTGTGAATGATAGTGATGAATTGATTGTATAAAATAATATATAATGAGAATGCATATCAATTAATCTTTTAAAGAATATATTAAAAGATTAAAATTTAATATATTAATTTTTAAATATTATATTAAAATCACATTAGTTCAGAGCTCTCTATTTATTTTAAATGCTTAAATATCATATTAAAATAACATCAGTTAAGAATTTTCTATATATTTCAAATGCATGTTTTTGAATTTGGTCAATTTTTTTGTCTGAATTTTTATATCGCATTTTTTTGTTGGTGTTAGTCTTTGGCATTAGATGTCTGTTAAATAAAAGTTGAGTTGTTTAACGCTGACGTGAAAATGATTTTATATTTTTCTTTTGTTTAATACGTGGAATATCTAGTTGAGGGGTTTAAAAAAAGAGGATTAAATTAAAAAAATCTATTATTTTGCATCTTCTTCTTCTCTTAAAAGCATCTCCTGCAATTTCTTTCTCTTCAGACAGAAATAGCATTAAGGTCTGCGCATTCATCCATGACAACGTCCTCAATAGATAATTGTTTTCAGTCTCAAATCTCAGCTTGTGGTTGCAATAGAGGAAAGAGGATTTTCATCTCAAATTCAACCGAAACTCTAAATGAAGATTTTGAAAATATTTAAATTCGGGTATAATGTCAAGTTAGAAGAAGGGAATCTAATGAAACTCTAATAAGAGAAAAACACAAATAAGTTATTGTTGCACAAGATATGGTATACATGGTCATGATGTAAGAAGCTGTACAAGTCAAGTGGTTGACCCTGAAGCTCAAAAAAGAAAGATATTGAACATGTCCATACTTTGAATATGTTATTAATGAAATTGATATCTTATTAATACTCTGATTTTTATGTTCAGAGAAAGTCAATGAAAACTGCAACAGGACAATGACAAGGACATCCATTTGGTAAAACAACCCAAAAATAAATTCAACCTACTAAAGTTGGAGTTGTAACCCAGGAACAACCTCAACCTAATGAATCTCAAACTGATTTAAATCCTGAGTTCGAAATGCTTGCTGCAAATCTTGGAGCAGCCTTTGAGGCAACTCAACCTCGGCCAATTCGTGTTGAAACGGTTACATAAATTCAAAGTGCATATGTTACATCAACTTAGAGTGCACATGTTCTATCTTCGTAAACTCTGATATAACACAATCTACATTGGCTATATGATGTCAGCACCTGTTCCAACAAGTGATGATGTACCTGCTGCACCTATTTCTACTACTCCTAGAATTCTAAAACCATATGAGTTTATTAAGTCATTTGATAATGCCTTGAAAATATTTTGTTGATGTGTTGTACTTGCTGCACCTCTAATATTCAGATTTTTGCAGAAGAAGAAGACAATCAAATAAAAAATTTCAAGAAAATTGGAGTTAAGGAGAAGTGATATGACAAGGATCCTTAAATGCAAAAATCTCAAAGGAGAAGGAAATGATCCATCAAAACATATGAATGTGTAGAAATTAAGCATCTTATTATGATTCTGTCATGGTGTATTTTGATACTTTATTATGGTTTTGTTATGGTTTAGACTATTACTTTGTTATGGTTATGAGACATGAAACATCATTATAGTTTATTTATAGTGTGTCTTTGTTTTATTTTAAGACAAATTTATATGTCTTTTAGCTTCATGTGTGTCTTTGTTTTATTTTAAGACAAATTTATATGTCTTTTAGCTTCATGTTATTTAAGACATGAGTCATCATTATGTTATCTATATGCTTTTATGTATTAAAATATTAAGCAAATAAATCACAAACATACATGAATAAAAAGACAGTAACATAACTAAGAAACATGTATGGAATACAAACAAATAGTTAAGAAATATGATGAAATACAAACAAATCATTAAGAAACAGGGATGAAAACCAAAATACCATAAATGTACAGGGACGAAAATCATAAATTTCAAATGTTCTTTTTCATACAATTTACATGGACGAAATTCAACAATTATTCTTCTTCTAGGAACTAAAACAAAAAAAATTACAGACGCCACGAACAAACGCCATGAACATGAAACTCGTTACCATTTTTAGTAAGCAAATAACAGACACCATGAGACAATCAAGAAAAACTAAAATAAATTGGTTTTCTTTCTTTCGTTTTCCAATTTCAATTTCATCTTCTCTTTTTT